GGGCTTCGTCGACCACAGAAGGCCTTTTACAGAAAGGCCTTCGAAAACGCTGTCTGTGGGGATAAAAAGCTCAGCACACACAATGCCATCTCCCCTCCAGGTCAGCTGTGTGCTCTCACTGCAGTTGTCAGAAACACACAGTTTTCTTTCTGAAAGTCTCTTGACACAGAAAAACTTGTATATCACTTAAACCTGAACCCCAGGTTTGAATGTGTCTTTGTTTGCCCAAGTGAGCATGAGTTGCCCGCCCCTTCCTGCCTCAGCTGCCATTAGAATGAACTGTGTAGGAGGACCCAGCCCTGGCCCAGAAAGGATGTTAACATGCATTCTTGTTCTTAGTTGGCCCAGGAGGCATTTGAAATGGAAGGTCCTTTAGACCAGGTGCTTGACAACGTGCCTGAGAGAGAAGTATGGGCCAAGGCCCAGCTGGGGTGGGTGGGGCTGCCTGGAGCACCTGGGAAGCGGGCTGCGTGCCTCCTGACCTGCCAGCTGGAGCCCGGAAGTGCTTTCTGAGGGGTGACACCTGCACTGCTGTGCTCTGGGTTGCAGGAGGAAAGGGCAAATGTGAGCCGTGCGTGAGGCTGGGTTGAAAGCCTGTGTGTTGCCAAGAAAACACCAGGAGCCATTTATAAGGCTAGGATACTGATTCCAGGAATGCTCTGGGAATGAGCCTGTTCTCTCCCCGAGTTCCTACAGCCTCTAATTCTGCTTGGACTCTCCCACACCAGCCCCCCCAATGCAGAGGACAATGCATCGCACCTGCCAACACCACTCACCGTGAACAAGCAGGGAGGATACACACCACATGGCTCCGACGTGTGGAGCTTCAGCGCTGTGGTTTCAGCTGCTGAAGGGAGTCATCTGGGAAGGCTGGCCCCCAACGAGGAGATGCCACGGGAGTGGCAGCACGTGCTGCTGCTTTTTGAAAAGCTCAAATGCTTACACTGGAGGCTGCAGCATGCCAGCACTCAATGCTGGTCCCAGAACATGGATGAAGGTGTCAGCCCCCTCCAACCCTAATCTGCAATACTACATGAATTAAATTCTCAGCTGACACAGCCTCTGTGTACAAGCTCATCTATGACTCTTGGAGATGAAGGGGTTTCTTTTTATTAATTTTTAGCTAAGATTATGCTAAAGCCAGCGTAAACCAAAAATTAGGTTTGATTTTTACCACGGCATTTTTAGGTAGAAAAACTCCATTTCCTTTGAGATAATAAAGCATAAAAATACAAAAAAAAAGCTTGACCATAGACAAAGGAGGCAGCCCTGAAGACTGATCTGTAATTTGTGGTGAGGCTAAGTGTTCAATTTAGTCTAAAAGGTGGCTGCATTTGAAGTAATTTATTTGTACTTTTACCACATACTCCATGATAACTCAAACTCTTAAAGTGAACAGAGTCTTAAAACAAGAAGGTAAAGACACACACACACACACACACACACACACACACTCAATGTCTCTGGAAATCCAACAGTTCAGGCAGAGTCCTTGGGTTACTTAGTAAACATCTGGGGGAAAGGCCAAGCCTTCTTGGTGGGCGGCTAACTGCAGCAGGAAGCTCCACTGTGGCATGGGGGCCAAGGCTCACAGGACAAATCTGAGCTCTGTGATAGCCTTGGTGAGTCAGGACTCTAATGAGATTCCAGACATGGCCTAACAGAAACGGAGCTGAGCATCTCTCCAGACTAGATTCCCCTGTGAAAAAGATAATCAAAGGATAGCACATTCACTCCACGTAAGTTAAAGACATGAAGTTGGGCAAAGGTTCTCCATGTCTCCAGGCATTTGTCTCGAATGGATTTTCAAGCTTTAACATACTTGTTCTTAGCTTAAAATAAGAATTCTTACTTATGAGAACAAAATCCTCTATTACACACACACACACACACACACACAGAGAGAGAACACCCTGAAATAAAAACTTTTAAAGCTGGTACAAGTTGAGGATCCAAGGCACAAACACAGTATGCAATTGTGCATAAAACAGTGAGGATTTTGTTCATTTCAGCATTCCATAGGGTCCCCGGTGCGAACCTTTTTATGAGGACCCATCAGGAAGAAGTGTCCCCTGCGGAGCTGGCATGCTCTGGTACAGAGCAATGGAAACTGTTTCCCTTCAGCCTTCACTGCCAGGAAGTTCAAGCATCAAATTCTGCATCTGATAACACTCTTTTCTCCATTCTTATTGATCTTGGTTTTCTCCCCTTTCTGTTCTTATTTTATTACCATTATCTTATATGTTTGTTTTTGTTTGTTTTTTTCTAATGGTATGCTGCTTCAAATTCTTTTAGGAAAGAGGCCAGGTATAGATACATTTCAAATACAGATTAAAAATAAATAAATAAATAAATAAAAACTACAAGCAAATATTGCAGTTACTTTTTAGGATATAAAGGAAAGTATCTTTCTTTGTTCTTACAGCACACCTTAATAAAAAGTGGTACTTCAGAATTACCTTAAGATAACATATACCTAGATGTGACAAGAGCAGCCCTGTGCTCATTAAGAAGTCCTCAATTCCTTAATTTTTCAAGCACAGACCTCTTCCCTGAACATAATTTTGGTTATCTTCATTAGTTTCCAAAAGAGCCCTTGGCTGGGACCAGACACTGTGTGTGTGGAGCTCCATGACTCCTGGTGAACCATTGACATCTGACTGCCTTACCAGCAGTTTCCTCCTTCATAATAGGGCAACTACTACTTCCTCTACAGCACAACTCTCACTCTGGTCAGGTAAGCACAGACTGGCTCTTAGGGGTGAACGTGCAGAATACATGCAAGATATTACCATCATACACATTAGAGGCCTATGTGATACTTCCCCAAGAGTTTAAGGAGTGCTTTTCACCCATGGCAAAAACTTCAAAATCATGTTTGTTTTTTTGTAACAACACGATAGAGGCAGGGAAGTTATATGCACACACAGAGATGCAGGCCCCAAATAACGAAAGAAAGCATTTCTATACATAAAACATTATTTATATCTGTTTTCATTTTTTTTTTTTTACATTAAGATGTAAACATCCCCTTATCCAAAATAGCTGGTGAAAAAAATAAAACAAATCAAGCCTTTAAAGATAGCTGGTGAATTTTCAAGTGTCCTTGCTGAAGAATCTAAATATCAAACATAATAATAATTCAATGATAAGGAGAACCAACTGAACCAAACTGAGCTATAAAATATCAATATGTAGCAAAATCACAATTAATTGGAATGCTCCAACTTCTAAATGACTATTTAGAACTATTCTTGTTTTAACCATTAGTTTAGAAAAACCTTTCAAAATTGAACTACTTCACTTTCCTGACTCAGTCAGTACAAAATGCCAAACACAAATCAATTTTATTTTGATAATTTAGGATCATGGTGTATCTCTCAAAAGATACATTAATTTCTGTGCAGTTTTGTTAGAGACAGAAAGTTATATTGAATTGGAGTTTCTTGTTTTAAATAAAACCCTGATATCATTGCTTATTATCTTCCTTTTGTCTCATTCTTCTATAAAGAGAGTGTAGCAAAAAGGTTCTAGGTAAGCAGTTGTTGACACATCTGGGCAAACAAGGCCAATGCTTTTAACCCACTGGACTGTTTCTTCTACTCAGTAAATATGCCCAATAACATGAATTACATGGAATGGGGCCACTGGTTTTCTAAATATCAAATTTCAGTACTTTATGAATTCCTTGTTTGGAATATTTTCTTTAAAAAGAAAAAAAAAAAAAACTCATGAAGATGAGCTTCAAAACCAGGGAAGTTGTATATTTTGCTAATGGAATCAAACTGTGCTTACTTTCATAATGTTATCAAGGAGCAAATAAGTTCTCTTGCTATAAAATATCAATGTGATATTTTATAATCACAATTTAACTACTCAGACCCATAAAGGAATGAACTGCTGGGAGAATAGTTCAGTGTTTCCCTAGCGCAGGATCCTACCCTGCACGCACGAGATGGTTCAGGTGGCACACAACACTGAACTAAACAATACTGCGTCACAGTGAGAATGTCATTCCCTTTACACTTTTCTTTATCCTGAGAATCCCACACAGAGAGCCTCTGGTGGTGCTGGGTAACCTCTCTCTCACCGCAACAAAGAAATAGCAGGCCTCTCGGATTCAGTGGCTTGGCGGGCATTAGCATCCAGCTGAATTTAGATAACATTTTTCATTTTTACTTTATTTGTTTTGTAGTCACCTTTTATTTATGGGAAACGGATCCTGGTTTCCCATTTGGAGTAGCTATTAGTTTCCTTTTAAATTATTTTAAAATTAAAAACAAAATTTTAAGTAAATAATAGTATGTAATACTCAATTGCTTTATGTTTGGAAAACAATAGCTATAGTCTAACAAATCATATTTTCAAAAAGATACTACCAATGTAATTAAAAAGGAAACCTGTCACTGTATTTTCAGTACTTACGATGTTCTAAAGATGAGTTTGCTGTGCCAGAGTTAAAACTCAAGCAAAAATATAAAAGAAAAAAGAACCAATTACAGACCATTCTGGACTCCATAAACTCATGGTACCATAAATGTGCAAATAATCTTAAATTTAGCAAGTCATTTGTTTGAAACAAACTTTTCAATTTACTGTGGATCTTTTTATTTGGCCTATACTAACGCCTCACCAAGGCAGGCCCCGATGGGAGATTCCTGCTGGCCCCCCGAAGATCTATATATGTTTGGTTGAACTTCAGCAGGGATTCAGGCCTGCTGGCCAGGGTGCCAATGGCGCTGACGGCTTTTCCACAGGAACAGCTCTGCAAAGAGGTCTCCTCCTCCCCTGGCTGTAATCTCAGGGCCAACTTCCTTCTGAGAAGAGTTTGCCTCGAGGATACCATATGCTCACAGGCATGCCACGTTGGCTTAAACAAAAAGGACAGTTGGAGAAAGAAAGCAGAGTTTCTCGTTGGTGGTGAACAGCTTCCTCATCACAGTGGCAGTTAAAATATGCTCCCTCCTGTGTCCCCAGGAAGCCCAGGCAATGAAGGATGGTCAGACGTCATAATCCGGAGCCTTACCCTGGGCTTGCCTTAGCCAAATCTGTAGTGTCACAAACGCTCCCACAGTCACATGGAAGAAAAGCTGCCAGAGATTGCGAAGTTCGTAGAGATACATGTTGCATAGACAGATTAAGCCAAAAGTCAAAAAAGATTTGACATTCCGCCAGCCAGTGTAGTAGACAAGTAAATAGCACTGTTTAAAATAGAAAATAAAAAATGATTAGGATTATAGGGGAAAAAACAGATGCTTTTACTATAAAACTGTAACAGGACACAGAGTAAAATATGAGTGCAATTTCATTTACAGATAAAATAATGTAACATCAAGGCATTCAGCTATGAAAGGGAAATATAGTTTTTCTTTTTATGTTTTTCATTTTTCAAAAGAAAAATGGAGGAATAATTGAATGACTGCCTTGCAAACAGGCTGGACAAATTTCCCAAGGTGACAGGCAACTAAGGAGCATTCTCAGGATTTTAGGGGGATTCATCTTTTGTATTCATCCCAGAAAAGTATAAAAAGCTCAAATAAACCATTTAGCAAAATGGACTCTTATATAACCTAACTATGAAGATTACTGAAATCAACAATATTTACTTAAAAAGAAAACTGGCCCCCCCCCCCTTCAGTGCAAGGAATTAAGCTAGGAGGATACGAGTGAACATTTGAGGGAGAAGTCACTCAAGGGATGTTTACGGAGGGCCTACTATAAATCAGGCATTGTTCTTTAGCTTTAAAGTAAACACACAAACCCCTTGCTCATGCAGAGTTTACATTCTAAAGGAGAGAAAAAGATTATAAACATTATATACATAACAGTTATGTCTTAAAAAAGATTAAATTTAAAAATGTGACAGCCCTGGCCAGTTTTCTCAGCAGTTAGAGCATTGGCCGAAGGACCAAAGGGTCTCGAATTTGATTCCCTGACAAGGGCATGCACCTCAGTTGCGGCTCAATCCCCTGCCCTGGTCAGAACACACGCAGCTGGCAACCAATCGATGTGTTTCTTTCACGTAGATATTTCTCCTTCCCCTCTCTCTCCCCTCCTCTGTCACCCCACCACCACCACCACCACTTTCCCTCCACTCTCTCTAAAAAATATCCTTTGGTGAGGATGAAAAAAAAAAGGGGGGGGGGGGAGGGACAGAAGGCAGTGAGTGCCATTTTATTTTATTTATTTATTTATTTTTAAAATATATTTTATTGATTTACAGAGAGGAAGGGAGAGAGATAGAGAGCCAGAAACGTCGATGAGAGAGAAACATCAACTAGCTGCCTCTTGCACATCCCCTACTGGAGATGTGTCCGCAACCAACATACATGCCCTTGACCGGAATCGAACCCGACACCTTTCAGTCCGCAGACCGACGCTCTACCACTGAGCCAAACTGGTTTTGGCTGAGTGCCATTTTAAAGTAGTCCCCTACTCTACCTCAAATCCTGGCATTCACCTTCTCCTGCTTTATTTTTCCCCCCATATTATTAATATACTTTAAAAATATTATTACTTTGCCCCTGCCCCACGGCTGCTTCTTAGACATGGCTGGAAACTTTCGTGGGAACTTGAGGGTTCTGCTGAATCAAGTGATGAAGGCTTAGATCTGGATGTGTTGAGTTAGTATAGGGCTGGGGTGTTGATCTGTGAGTGCCTTGGGTGGGGCCTGGATGAGGCTGGTTGACCTAGTGGGAAATGTCTTTTGTGTGAAGTGTATCATTGGGCATGTGGAGGTATTATTGATATGAGAAAATGCTAAGTAACTGATTTACTATTTGAAAAGGGATTTACTATTTGGGAAAGGGAGGGAAGAAGAGACTGAACATAAACTGCACCTATGGATGAGGACAATGGGGGATGGGGAGGGGTCGGAGGGTGGGGTGGGAACCTAGTGGAGGGGGGAAGAAATGAGGAACCTTTGTAATAATATGAACAATAAAGATTGATTAAAAATAATAATAATAATAATAAATATTATTACTTTGTTTGCCAACTATATTCTTCCAATAGAATCTAAGCTTCATGAAAAGAGAGATTTTTGACTGTCAAGTCACTCATTTATCTCCAATGCACAGAACGACACAAAAGTGCTCACTGAATTTTATTGAATGAACTGATTTCTAGACGATATCTAAAATTCACAATCTGGTAAATATAGAAGTTATATGTGATCACAAAGTCTTAAGAAAGAAGCAGAGGTCTCTTTATAAAATTACATCCACCCTTCAGTATAGGAAGGATATTAGGGTATTTGTGACAATGCAGAAAGAATGTGGAAATGTTCTATTCAATGTGTTTACTTTTTATAAATATATAATAGGACTCTGCTTACTTAAAAAGAAGACTGCCACCCAAGAAAAATGCATTGGAAGCATTTACGGTACCTAAGTGATTTGTATTGCATAAAAATCATTAGAGGAAAACTTTTTCTTTTAAAATAATTTTAAATTACAGAAATGTTGCAAAAATAGTAGAGTTCCTGTATCCTTTCATCTTGCTCCCCTAATATTATCCTCTCACATAATCATAATATAATCAATAAACCAGGATATGAACATTGATACAATACAATTAACTAATCTATAGGCTTTATTCAAATTGTGCCAGTTGTTCCACTAAGGCCCTTTTTTTGGTCCAGGATTCCATATTGCATGTAGCTGTCATGTTTCCTCAAATCTGTAATGGCTTAAGTCTTTGCTTTTCATGAGCTTGACACTCTTGAATAGTACTGATCATTTGTTTTGCAGAATGTCCCTTAATTTTGGTTTGTCTGATATTTCCTTAAGATTGAAGTGAGCCCTAGCTGGTTTGGCTCATTGATGTTTCTCTATCTTTCCTCCTCCTTTACACTCTCTCTAAAGATTATAGGAGTCCGGCTGGCATGGCTCAGTGGTTGAGTGTCAACCTATGAACCAAGAGGTCACAGTTCCAATTGTCGATCAGGGCACATGCCCAGGTTGTGGGATCCATCCCCAGTAGGGGGCGTGCAGGCAGCAGCTGATCAATGATTCTCTCTCATCATTGATGTTTCCCTCTCCCTCTCCCTCTGCCTCCCCCTCTCTCTGCCTACCTCTCTGAAATCAAACATTTTTTAAAAATCAAGGTAAAAATGTCCTCAGGTGAGGATGAACAAACAAACAAAAAACAATTGAGTGATATGCAATTTTGGCAAAAATACCACTATGGTGGTATGCAATGTATTATTATTGCAATGTTAACTCTGATCTTTTGGTAGGTGGTGTCTGACAGGTTTTTCCACTGTGAAGTTACTATTTTCTCTTTGTAATTAGTATCTGATGGGAGGGGAAATAAAGACATTCTCAGGTGAAAGAAGACTAAGAGAATTTAGAGTACAGATATACTCTAAAAGAATGGCTAACAGCAGTTCTCTAAACAGAAAGGAAATAATAAAGGAAGAAACTTTAGAACATTGAGAAAGGAAAAAAGAAAACTACAGAAAGCAAAAACAGGTAAATATAGTAGATTCTCCTCTTCTTGTGTTTTCTAAATTATGTTTGATGGTTGAAGTGAAAATTATAACACTGTCTGGAGTGGTTCTAAATATATGTAGAAAAAATATTTAAGCAAATATATTATAAATAGAGGAGGGCAAAGTGAGATCAAAAAAGGAAGCTCAATTTCTGTTTCACTTGTACAGGTAAAATGACAGTACCAGAAAATTGTGATAACTGTGTGTAATGCAATACCTGAACAACCATTTTAAAAGCTATACGAAGAGGTACACTCAAGAACACGATAGGTAAATCAAGATGGACTTCTAAAAAAATATTCACATAACCCACAGGAAGATGGGGAAAAATAAAATATAAAAATTAAAAACAGAAAAAAAAATAAGATGGCAGATTTAAACCCTAACATATCAGTTAAAAGGATGAAAAGATAAGCTACAGACTCGGGGAAGATATTTGCGAACTGCATATCTGACAACTGACTAATGTCTAGAATACATAAAGAATTCTCAAACTTGACATAACAAACAATCCAGATAAAAAAAAAAATAGGCCAATAACAGGAATAGAGATTTCACCCAAGAGAATATACAGATGACAAAATAAGCATATGAAGTGATATTCTACATCATTAGCCATTAGATTAAGTGCAAATTAGAACCATAATGAGATATAATGACATACCTATCAGAATGGCTAAAAAAATATGGAAGACACCAAATGCTGGAGAGGATGTGGAGAAACTGGATCACTCACACATGCGGGAGGGAATATAAAATGGTTGCCACCTTGAAAAACAGTTTGCCACTTACTAGAACTAGGCATGCCTATGTAGAAAAAAATATTTAAGCAAATATATTATAAATAGAGGAGGGCAAAGTTAGATCATAAAAGGAAGTTCAATTTCTGTTTCACTTGTACAGGTAAAATGACAGTACCAGAAAATTGTGATAACTGTGTGTAATGCAATACCTGAACAACCATTTTAAAAGCTATGCAATTACCATATGGCCTAGCAACTGTACTCCTAGGAACTATCTCCGAGAAATGAAGACTTAGTGCACACAAAAGCCTGCATGTGAATGTTTAAAGCAGCTTTATTTATAAAATCCCAAAATTGGAAAGAACTCAGATGTCCTTCAATGGATGAATAAGTAACTGTGACACATACATACCATGGAAATCTATTTAGTAATAAATAGGAGCAAGCCATTAATATATACAATAACCTAGACAGATCTCCAGAGAACTATGCTGAGTAAAAAGAAGCCAGTCACAAAAGTATGCTGTACGGTTCCGTTTACATAACATACTTAAAATGAGAACGTTGGAATGGAGAACACATCAGAGGCTGCCAGAGATGAAGGGGCAGCGGGAAGTGGATGTAGCTATAAAAGGGCAACACGAGGGGTCCTTGTGATAGGAATGTACATTATCTTGACTGCATCAACATCAACATTCCAGCTGGGATATTGTGTTATGGTTTAGCAAGATGGAACCAGTGAAGAAAACCAGGAAAAGGTTATATAGAATCTCTCTTACAACTCCAAGTGAATCCATAATAATCTCAATATGTTCCATAGCAGAAACAACTTTATACATGCATATATGCCTGCAACTTACTTTATAAAGTTAAAAATGGATACTAGATGCACACACATCGAGAGAGAGATAAAGAGAGAGATGAAGTGTTGCAAAATGTTAAAAACTGATGACTCTAGGTAGGTTTACTAGTCTTTCAATAAAGACTAGTATTGAAAGTTTGCTAGTTTTCAAAATAAAACGAGGGAAAGGGAATCCCTTCTAGTGTCTCCTTTGGTTTCCTATTTGAAATGCTACATAGCAAAAGTACTCCTACCTGGTTGAGCTCTATATAAGTACCTACAGCCTGGAGTAAAAGCCAACAAACCATGTGGTGGTAGCCTCTGAGGGCTGATCAAAAGGAGATTAAAAATATCCTGATGCCTAGAAATACAGCATGTCATATGGTAACACATAACCCCTTATGTTTTACTGTGGAAAGCATTATTATCGCTCTACCCAGCATATTTGGAAAGCATGCAATTTCATGCCTGTCGATAGGAAGAAATGTTTTCGTTTTCCCTTTTTTAATTGTTTAAAGTATTACAAATAGTACGCATGTCTCTTTTTTTCCCCATTGACCTCCCCCCACGTCGCTCTGTTGCACATGCCCTCACTAGCAAACCCCCCCCCCCCATCCCCTAGTATCTTGCGTCCATTGGCTATGCTTATATGCATGCATACAAGTCCTTTGGTTGATCTCTTACCTGCCTCCCAACCCTCCCCTGCCTTCCCTCTGTAGTTTGACAATCTGTTCAATGCTTCTTTGTTTTTAAAGCATGAATTTGTTTGCTTCTCTCAAAGGAAAGAACACCTGAGTGACACAGCTCCTCCATGAGGCAACTCTTAGAACTGCTTCCAGCCGTTCTGGGATATGTACTAGATGTGCCCACCTACAGGCCATGGCACTGGGGCTGGAGTCACAGCCTGGGCTGAGTCACAGACTGGCTATGATAAGGATAACAAGATTAGTGCGGGACTCTTGAGAATTTAATGGTGCAAGGAATGTAGAGGGATTAGCATGAAGTACAGCTCAATACATTTTGCTATTATTATTAGCATTTAAAATTGTTATTAGTGCAAAATAGTCAAAAGCATGTTTTTAAAAAATAATTACTCATGAAATTATTTTAAAGTTAATATTCACCTCACATTATTTAGAATCACATGAGGTAATGTATGTAAAAGTTATAACATTATAATTTTATAGCATTATAAAATTATACAAATGTAGGAATTTTGCTTAGAGAGAGCAGGTAGAATGAACATAATATTTAAAATTAGAAAATTCAGAGTCAAGAACTGACTCCACTTAATGGCTCTGCAATCTCTGGATAATACAGAAACTGCCCCAGATTTCTCATCTTTAAAAATGAGAAAATATCCCCTGTGCAGCAAGATTGCAGAGATTACAGCTTAGAAAATCTACATAAGAATACATCGTAATAAAGCACTATGACATTAAAAAATACAATTTTTCACATTTCCTGTATGAAATGTCATTCATTATAATTAAATGTCATATTCAATAGAAAAACAATTTCTGAAGATAATATAAATGATTAAGAAAAATTAGGGGATTACAAAAATAGGGTCACTGAAACTAAAAATTATAACACATCCTACCTAATAAAAAAGTAATATGCAAATTAACCATCACCCAGCCACACCCACCAGCCAATGAGAGGGAGTATACAAATTAACCCCTACCAAGATGGGTATGGCCACAGAGAGCAGGAGGGAGGCTTGGGTTTCTCAAGCAACAAAAAAAGCCAAGTTTTCTGCCTGCCCTTGCCAACGTAAGCCTCTACTCGAGGCAACGAAGTTTCAATTATAGAAGGTAAATCCAAACAGAAATGGCTGCTGGCCATGGAGTGAGCAGGAGGCTTGGCTCTGTTCCAGGCTACAAAGTTTCAATTGTAGAAGGTAAATAAATTCCAGATACCAGGGCCTCCACTTGGGTTGCCAGGGGGCATGGCTGGCCTACAAACCATCACAGGCCCCTCACTCAGGCTGCTCCATGCCCAAAGAATCCCCTACCCTGATCCAGGACACCCTTCAGGGCAAACCAGCTGACCCCCACCCATGCACCAGGCCTCTATCCTATCTAATAAAAGAGTAATATGAAGATTGACCATCACTCCAACATACAATAGCTGCCCCCAGGTGGTCAAAGATGGCTGCCCCCATGTAGACACAAGATGGCCAGCAGGGGAGGGCAGTTGGTAGGCACCAGGCCTGCAAGGGAGGGCAGTTGAGACGGATCAGGCCTGCAAGGAAGGGCAGTTGGAGGCGATCAACCCTGTAGGGGAGGGCAGTTAGGGGTGACCAGAACGGCAGAGGAGGGAAGTTGGGGGCAAACAGGTTGGCAGGGGAGCAGTTAGACATCAATCAGGCTGGCAAGCAGAAGCGGTTAGGGGCAATCAGGAAGGCAGGCAGGCGAGCAGTTGGGAACCAGCAGTCTCCTGGATTGTGAGAGGGATGTCCGACTGCCGGTTTACCCACCTTCCCATCGGGATCGGGCCTAAAAGGGCAGTCGCACATCCCTCAAGGGGTCCCAGATTGGAGAGGGTGAAGGCTGGGCTGAGGGAACCCCCACCCTGGCCCCATGTACAAATTTTGTGCACCAGGCCTCTAGTCTTTACATAAAAATCAAATGTATATATACACCGGTATTCAAATTTTCCCCTAGGAACTTTTACTGAGTTTTAGGTAGCCTTATATTTGCAGTCCTGAGTCCTCCTAATGTTCTTTCTGTGCAAACCAGAGAAATGTGTTACTTATAAAAGTTTGATCAAGCCAAAGCAGGTTTGGCTCAGTGGTAGAAGGGCAGCTGTTTCAGGCAGGAGGTAGTAAGTGATACCAGTGACATTTGAATGTGCAGACTGAAAGGTCCCAGGTTCAATTCTGGTCAAGGGCATGTACATTGGTTGCGGGCACATCCCCGGTGGGGAGTGTACAGGAGGCAGCTCGTCGATGTTTCTCTCTCATCGACGTTTCTGGCTCTCTATCTCTCTACCTTCCTCTCTGTAAAAAATCAATAAAATATATATTTTTTTAAAAAGTTTGATCAAAAGGCCATGCATGAGCTAACATGTTTTAGCTAATACAGCTTTTTAATGGTTTTTAAATTGATTATTTTTAGAGAGAGATAGGAAGGGAGAGGCATAGAGAAATAAAAACATCCATGAGAGAGAAACATCGATTGGCTGCCTCCTGCACATCCCCTATTGGGGATTGAGTCTACAACCCAGGCATGTGCCCTACTGGGAATTGAATCAGTGACCTCCTGGTGCATGGGTCAGTACTTAATCACTGTGCCACACCAGCTGTGCAACAAAGACATTCTTGAGTTTGGATCATTGGCATGGTTATCCCATCCCTCCCTACAAACCTGTGCCTCCTCTCTTCTTGGAAATACAAGCACCCAACTCCTTATCATCCAGGTACAAAACCTCCTCCCACCTTGTCTCATATCTTTACTTAAAAGTCCTAGCAGGCTTCCCTCTCCGTGTCCTTCCCCCACACATCCCTAACTGCCTTTACTGCTTACTACCTCCTGCCTGAAACAATGGAATCACCTCCCAACTATAATAATTTCCTTGCTTCCAATCTCTCCGCTCTGACAATCCATCCTATTCTCTGCTAAATTAAATATTCTAAAATTCTGCTTTTGCAGCTCCCTATTTAAATATTTTCTCAAAAGTACAAAATCCTCAGCCTAGAGTATAAGCAGAGTCTGGAAGCTGAACAATCAATCAGTCACACTAAACCTAGACATAATCTTTACCGCCACAAGCAAACGACATGGGCCTCTGAAGCCCAGCCCCTGAGAGTTAACATTAAGTTCACTGGTATCTATGCCCACTCAAAATGAACAAGTAGGTCACAGAACTAACAGAGACTCAATTAAAAGGAAGGCAAAACAAACACTTCGGACATTATTTTTAATTTACTTAAAAGTGCATAAGCAATTATTAGAACTGATTCTGGAAACAAATAATCATGGGAAAGTATTTCTCAAAAATAGGAGAGAACTTACTTACCTGGTAAAGACAGGCTGCTGTTCCAAGAAAAAATGCAATGATGTAATTAAAATCCTCACCATCACTCTGCAAAAACAAAATAAAAAATTACATTTTTTTCTGGTGGAAGCCCATTTTCAAAAACCAATCTACCAGGATAGCATATGAAAACACTGATGCACAAATGGCCAAAATTTTCACTAAGTGGTCTATAAAAACTCTCGAGAGTCCTAAAAGGGAAACATAAAATCTATCATAAGATCCAAGGAGTATGAGGTGAGGAAAACCACCAGTGTTCCTCCAGGCTCCTGTCAATGTCATTTTACTTAAGAAAAGTTGAAAACCAACGGGAAAAGGTTTCTGCATAAAGGCTCTCTTCTCTCTACTGAAGAAACCATATGAAAGTGTACAACACCCCGGTGGCCTATAAAGTTAGTCTTCCTCACTAGGGTCATTACTTAACTTAAATAATACTGACAAATTTTACTATCTAGTAAGCACATCACTAAATTGTTCAATACAGTAATTTGACAAGATTAAAAAAAAGAAGAAGAAAAGACATGAAAAGCTATTGCCCACTAGAGTGTGCTAAACCCCAATGAGAAAAATCAGTCATGCATGCTGCGCTAGAAAAACAGCCACCCGGAGGAAAGCCAGATACATCATGCTTAGAATATTTCTTTTAAAAGAAAACTTACAGAAACATACAACAGCCCAGTGTTTTTCTATTGCTTTTTTATATCTCTTAAATATCTATATTTACTACTTCTTTCAACGTTGTTTTTTAAAAATATATTTTATTGATTTTTTACAGAGAGGAAGAAAGAGGGATAGAGAGTTACAAACGTCAATGAGAGAGAATCATCGATCAGCTGCCTCTTGCACACAATCTACTGGGGATGTGCCCACAATTAAGGTACATGCCCTTGACTGGATCGAACCTGGGACCTTTCAGTCCACAGGCCGATGCTCTATCCACTGAGCCAAACTGGTTCTGGCTCAATGTTTTTATGAAGTAGAAAACAAAGCATAGACAGGAGCATACATTTGCCCTTATTTTAGAAAAAAAAAAAATTAATACAATGGAAATTTCCACAAGACATGAGTGTCCCCCATGACCATTTCCTCACGAAATAATATGAAGAGAAAATTTCTTTTCCACTTGCTATTGAACAACAGAACTTACTCTAAGACAGAGGGAGAGGGGCTAATCCTAGTACGAAGATCTTGAGATAGGAACCATTGATCTGTCTGGGATGCTTAGGGACAGTTCTAACCCAAAGGAAGGGAAAGTCAACATGAACCTTTCCACTTTAATAATTCTAAGACTTTAAACACAGGATGGGGAGAAAGTAGGTTAATAGTTGTATGTGGAACAGTTTATTGTTGTTTTATTATTTATTAATTATTGTATTACTTTCCATATTAACAACTATAAATCTACTTTTGTCCCACCCTGTAAGTTCTGCTTATTTTCTTAATCCTTTACTTTTTAAATGATCTTTTTTCTGATTATAAAATTTTATGTTCATTGTAGAGAATATGGATTATTACAAAGAAAAATTCATATAGTCCATAGTATCACAACTCTGGGAGAATTACTGCTATTTTATGTATTTCCTTTCAAGATTTTCTGCACAAAAATATATGTACATTTTGAAAAATTGGAATCATACTTTTATATACTATTTTTTACTACTTCACATTATAATGGTTATATAACTTTTCATTTTAGAGATATACCATGATTTAATTATTGTCCTTGAGTTGGTTATTAATTTTTCCCAACATTTATATCACTTTATAACCCTCTTAATTAGCTTTGGAACACTTAAAAGCATGTTTCTGGAGTCAGTCAGATGTGGGTTTAAATCTTTATTTAGTAGCTGTATGATCTTGGGCTATTTAACTTCAATTTCCTTTCTTGAAAAATAAAAGTTGTAGAGATTAAATGAAATAAAATTTGCAAATACAAAGAATAACTGGCACACAAAAAGCACAAAATATTTCAACAACCTCATTTCTCCCTGGATCATTCATTGATAATTAGCTTACCTTTCAGTATTCTTTAAGTCTCTAGTGTACTGGCCTTGCCCTCTCAATGAGACCTTAACCTTTCTTCAAGGCAGAAAAAACATCTTACTTCTTGCAGGAAACTGCACATAGTAGGAATTCAACAAATGCATGCTAAATTGAGTTGAGCTTTGACAAATATTTCTACTTGGTTCAATAAATATTCATTAAGCACTCATGAGCCAGTACTGTGTTACTAGACCTAGGAGTGAAAACAATTAAGTCTACCAACTCAAGAAACTCACTCTCTAACCAAGAAAGCAGATACATAAACCAACAATTCCCATCCTAAATAATAAATGAGGATATAGATATGTGTACAGGGTTCTAAGGAAGCCTATTATGAGGGTAGAAAAGAGATCTTGGGAGACTAAGAGAATAGAGGTAAGGGAGTAGGGACAAGAAATATGGTTTACTTCTTCAAAAAATTAGAAGGGAACATACATCAAGATGTTTTGTTTCTTTATCTTTTAAAGATTGTTCTCTCAGCATGTTTATAGGCTGAGAGAAAAGAGCCAGTTGAGAGAATAATAGCCAAAAACTGGGGGAAGGTGGGGCAGAGGTGCAGAGAGGGGATAGAAGTGGAGGATGGGACAAAGGAATGACAGCTGGGGTAATGTGAGGCAGAAAAGGATGGGGCAAAGGTTAGGAATTCAAATAAAAACTTAAAAAAGTCACATTCACCTTTGGGGGATTACAAAAACACTGCTTTGAAAACTAATAAAGGGGAATGACATTTTAAGGTGAAAATAAAGTATAGTAGCCACAAAGGGTATTAGGATATACTATTAAAATGTCTGTAATAATTAGAAAATATTCACTTTTTACTCTAAGTGAAAAGATACAAAATTATAAAATAGATATGATTCGTATACTTGTATATGTGTGTTAAGTATATGTTTGTGTGTATATATGTATATATGTACTATACAGAGAAAATTTGGGGATGGTTTTATTTTCTTCTTTATACATTTCCCCCCAATTTGTTAACAATAAACATAGAAACAGGAAAAACATTTTTATTTCTTTTGAAAGCAAGCACTGCATCTTAGCATAGACATTATACCACTAAATAAATAAGAAACTCCCATTGACCTTTATTAGATTTGCAATTTCTTTAACAAATCTATGGGGAAAACAGAACGCAAGGAATAAAAGCAAGTTGATTACTTCTGCTTGGTAGTAACCATTAGAAACAATATTAGAATCAGAGTGTCTTAGAACGTTTGTTCAGAAGTGATCACTGAGCCTATGTAATCTAAAACCTTCATCTTGCAGAACAGGAAGATCCAAGGAGGTAAAGTAAAACCCATCCAAAGACACAAAGGTAGTTATGGCAGATGGGACCCAAGATCCTGACTTACTACTGTATAAGAATTCTCTTTTTTCCCCCAATGCACCACATGCAAATTAATTCTAGGTTGGCATCAGCCTAATTAATATCTTTGTTTCAAGGTTTACCCTTAAAGGAGCACAGGTAATATAAACCCAATGTGATAAAAGCTTATTATGCATGAATGAAGTGCCAATTCACACACACACAAAAAAAAAAACTTATTAACATCTCTAAACTCAGAACAAAGTTAGCAAATGAGTGAAAATAATCTAATTTACACGTTACTGTGAACACCAAATCAAATTTACCAACTTAAAAGAAAAATGTGCTCATCCTAAACTTCCCCAGTCTGAACTTAGATACCAAAGAAAAACTTCAGTGCTATGTACTTTAATAAATCACTAGTTATCACCCTAAGAGGTTGATATTAATCTAGAAGAAAAAACCTGTGCTGAATTTTCAAACAACATTAACAATATACGCGAATGTTAATTTATGTGGGTTCTCAAATTTGAATGTGTCTCAGGCACCAAGTTACATACTAGAAGATAAATGTGGCAATTATTTTTAGCACATTCATTCAAAAGAGTATTTAGAATTCATGGCCTTAAAGAAGTAAACTTTAAATTAACAGTGATAAATTGCTCATGTTCAGAAAATACATTATATATTGTCAGCTAGATGTAAAAATATGATCCCCAATAAAATCCTTTGCCTGTTTTAGGAACCTCAATTACTGATGAGTATTTGTGGAATATATTAGGTGGGTTATGGCAGGACAAAGATCTGGAAATAATGCTAAGGGAACAACACAAGCTGGTGTGTCTAGTTTAATGGTATCTAAAAACCCCATATGAACAAATTTACAGTGCCCTAGATCAAGAGAAAGAAATATTGTTGGAGTAAATTTAGTCTAGGACAACAGTAAAAAAGAAAGAATTCTGTTTCAAACAGCAGAAAGACATACCTTCAAAGGTATAAGCATCCAGAGAGTCCCCAAAGTTATAAATGATCTATTAATAAAAAAAGGCCACTCTTACCTTGTCCCTAACTATAATTTACCTCATACTTATTTCACACACCACCGCCGTAACTTTAAGAAACTGTTTGAAACAAAAAACCTTGGAACTTCTAGGGAAACTGTATATTCTAAGGCAGAGCCAGGAAATTACAAAAATAGAAAAAAATGCTAAGGATCTCCTTATCCCTCACAAAAATATTTACCTTTACTCTGCCTAAAACTTTCATTACTTGAAAATCTACCTGTTAAGTTTGCTTAACAAAAGTTGTCTTTTTTCCTGCTTATATAACAAGTGCTAATAAATATTTATGTTTATTATTTAAAATCTGAATAATACATTCATATGGTTAAAAAATAAAAATAACATATAAGAAGGTATATATTGTAAAGATTCTCATTTACACTCTGCTTCCCATTTGTCCAGTTCCCATCACATTTATTAATTTCTTATCTTTCCAGAGTTTCTTTATGTGAATTAATGTACATAAAATATATTGTTATTTTCTTAGGCCAGTGGGAGTAGTTGGGGACTGGTAGGTGCAAGGTCAGAGAACCTAGTCTGTCTCTCACTGGCTTTCTCAAAATGTTGACTGTTCTCAGAGGACACAATATTGTACATCTGACCTTGAAACATGAATCAGATTCCTGAACCTGTGC